CTAAAAGGTTCGCCAACACTGCACTAGTAGAAGAGCAGAGCTGCAATAAAACACAATGCAAACTTTGACATCTACTACGAGACAGTGCTGGTAATATAATCAGCTGCAGACTTAAATTGTCACTAGACTACATTCATGCAAAATACTGTACCTCAATCAATTTGCTTTTGTCATAGTCTCCACGATGTCGATAAATACACTGACTGAGTAAGGCATAGAATTTCTCCAACTCAAGAATAGTGTAGTCACCGCTTTTCTCAACAGCCATGTTTAGTAATTTCTGGGGGAAACAGAGTACTACTATTTATTCCTTCAAATAAGATCAAGCATTTATTAAATAATTTTCGGCCAAGAGCCTGGCTATGCATTCCATACATTCTGTATGTACTTGCTGATAAGTAAGAATTTTAAGTGCCAAAATACTGTACAGCCCCCTCCCCATGGGTTTGTTCTATGTGTGAACAGGCTTATGAGCAATATGTAGAGTAATATTTTTTTAAAGTACTTGTATATTTTGTGTATATTAGATAAGTCTATTTGTGGATAAGCAGATCTTTAATTTTTAACTAAAAACCATGAAAAATGCATCATTTATGATAAGCCAATTGTCAAAATTAAAACACATGAATATTTTGAGAGTTGGCACATCCCAACCATAGGAGCAATTTCCTATATGGAATAAAAGGACATTTTAAAAATAAAATAGTGGAGCTATTTGTAAACCTGAGCTATTTTGTCTGCTCTCCTTCCGCAAAACTATTTTAACTGTTTAACATATTAGTTTGTAACCTCCAAAATATTCTTTTGGTTTGAGTGCAAACACATTTCCATTCACTGGGCTGGAAAGTGTCTCTGTATAGAAAATAAATAGCATAATTTATACCCTGTTTATGAGTATTAGAAACTATGATCTAATAGCAATGTAATACTTAGCAGATTTAACACTATAAATTATTTGGGGAAAAAGACCCATCCATCCCCATGCTCAACAAGAGAAGGCAAGACACTCTGCACTCAGGTGTACACTATATAAAGATACCCAAAAGTAAATAATGGAGAAGGAAGAATGCCAGTTCAGTAACAGGTTCCCTCTAAAACATACATTCAGCTTGTCTTGATCCACTGTGAGTGGTGGTGTTTGCGCTGACAGAATTTCCATGGCTTTCTCAACATTTATGAGGTGCTGCTGCTCTACCTGTGAACGCCTTGCACGGGTCATACGAAGCATGCATATATCTAGAATAATAAAAGGAAAAACTAGGATTTATTGCTGCTAGAAGATGTGAAAAATATACAGTAAACAAATAAAATAAGCCTTGTGGCACTTATAAGTAGTTATCTAGTGGTAGAGTACGTATAGAATTTTAGTCTGCCTAATATTCTATAATATTTCAAAATAGCCCATTTGAAGCCTAAAAATATATACGTCACATCAAATAATTAATCGTTGAGATGATTCACCTTATTTTTATTATGGGTGGAAAACACAGAAAGATCAGTGTTACATCTTGGCCTACAGACCTTCTAGGGAACCACAAGAGGCCACTTGATGTCATTGTGATATATACTGAAAAATACACGGTTTTAGAAAGGCAAAGCTGCAGATCACATGAATCAAGAAGCTGCCGGGATACATATTTTGACACCCTTTCTTAAAATCTTGACATCAAAATCTGCCCGCTGTACTGCCAAATTTCACTAAAATGATTTGGAAGTGTTCTACAGCAACCTTTTCATGCTGGCGGCCCGGAGGGAAAAGGAGCAGCTGGGAAATTTGCACGCGCACAGGTGCGCGGAAACAAGGCCGTGCACATCCACATGGCGCTAGCGGCCCCGTTTGTGTCAGCATGCCGCCGCTAGCCGCCACCGCTAACCCTATGCACTTTCGCAAACGGGCTGCACAACCTGCACAGTGCTAGCAGCCCTGTTTGCACATGCTCACAGGCGCTAGCCAGCCTGTCCTGCAGCCCAGTGGCCGGTAGGCCACGGCCCAGTAGTGGGCCGTGGCCCATAGGTTGGGGACCCCTGTTCTACAGTCCACAAATGGGATATTAGGGCTTCCCAACCAAAAGTGCCCTTACTTTCCTAAGGCTGTCTTTTCAAGGATTCAGATGTTGGTTTCTGTATTAGCAGTTTTGAGGTCTTCTACCTAAGTGGGCCACTTGTAGAGATTTTGGTCGTCATACATGCAATAAAATCATCACAAAGCAAAAGATTTCAGAATACTAGAACTATTTGTTTTCTTTTTACGCAACTCCAAGAGACTATCCCACATAACTATAGCAATATAATTCTAATGGCCCTGGAATAATCACAAATTCACTGAATAAAACTAATTAACTAATACTGTTTAGCCTGGCACTGCAATGTGAATTTAAATTTAGCTGGCAGAATCACTAAAATGGAGAGAGCGCTTCAGTATTTAAAAAAATGTGAGGTAGAATTAAACATTCTCCCTAAAGCAGGGGTCCCCAACCCCGGGTCTGAAGACCGGTACTGATCCGCAGCCTGATGGGAACCGGGGCCACCCAAGCAGCGGGTAAAGACACGGAACTTCATCTGTGCATGGATGGAATCTAGATTGCACGTGCAAAGCTACCCTCGGCCCTGGAGCCAGAAAGGTTGGGGACCACTGCCCTAAAGTATATTTTGACAACTTTCTACTCACCATTAGCATCCCTACCTAATGAATGTTCTGTTGCATCACCATTGCATGCTTTTTTTGGTTCTGAAAGTTCTGCATCCTTGTTGCTCTTGTCAAATTTACACTTAACATCACTGTGAATGGCCAGCTCATTTTCTGCATCAGATATACTGATATGCTGCTTTGGAGGCACATGTTCAGAGTCATCCAGAGATGTCTGTGTTATTTCAACTTCAGTCTGCTCCATACTGGAGTTATTATTTTCCATACATTCTTCTCCATCGCTCTCCCCTTCATCTGGCTCTTCTCCTGGAGCTTTGTTCTCCTTATTGAAATGCAAAGTCTTTTTCCGCTTTGCTAGGTTGCCCAGGCACCACCGACTCTTTCTTCTTAGTCTTCTCTTTGATAAGGCTACATTAAAAATACAATCAAATTCACTAGTTTTTCTTTCACTTAAAATTAACATATTCAGAACAAGTTTGGGGAGGACTGTGGGAAACCACCAAGTTACTTATGTTACTACAGATGCAAAAAAATCCGCATATGAATTTGCACATAAAAAGACTATTTGCCTTCTCTGGTGTAATAATTTAAACAGTCTGATATAACTATAAGATCTATACTGAAGCTAGACCTGAATCTCAACATCTTCCTTTTCTGGGGAAAAATGTATTGATATTGTTTAAATTACCATTCATATCTTTCAAAGACATATAGTAGTGGCATGCTTTATAGATGCCATTTCTAGGGTCAGCATATGAATACAAAGACATTTAAATTATATATTATAAAAACAAATAAAAATGAATACCAGGATAAAATTTAAACTAAAAATGTTTAATCAAATGCCAAGCTTTCGTCGGTCAGCACTACCGACATCATCAGGGCTTAAAACAGGTCGATGGGAGTCTCTTTTTTATAGCACTGGCCAGTTATAGCACTGGCCAGTATAGTATGACTTTACCCAGGATTCGAATTTTTAATGATGCATGTATGTATGTATGTATGAAGTTAATTTGCAAGAAGGGTAAAATAGGAAAGAAACAAACAACATACAGACTTTCCTCTCTTCTTGAAAGCGCCTCAAGCTATGGTTTCGGCTTTCCTATTCATTTTTATGCATTTTTCAAACTAAATATGAACACAGTCTGTTATGTTAATGTTTCCATTCCTGAATCTTCATCAAGGTGACCGCAACTAATTATTGTGAACATTCTGTGCAATGGCACTGTTTTACAACTGCCAGAAGAATGCTATGGGTTATGTTGTTTAGCTGCTGCAGCAGCTGCTTGCAAAACTCTTTTGCAGCTTGGAAGTCTCTTGGCCTTTCCTTGGCTGAATAACCAAGCATTGTGTAAGGATAAGAAATTGAAGACATGCTGCTATTAGTGTCGTGCAGCTGTCACTTTGAGGCCTAAGGGGCCCTGCTCTTTTGCCATGAGATCTTAGCAGGGGGTGAGAACGGGGTTGAAATTTTTTCCCACTGGAGTATGACATCCAACCAGCAGAAAACAAGAGATGTTGACAACCTGATTAAAAAAAAAGAGGAAGGGATGCTAAAGGCCACTTTTGCATTATCTGAAGGAACCAGATACATTCCACTTATACACTGTTTCTCAGCTTTTTAGTTTAAGATCAGGTGTATGCAGATAGTCCTCGACTTACAACAGTCTATTTAGTGACCGTTCAAAGTTACAATGGCACTGAAAAAACTGACTTAGGACCGTTTTTCACACTTATGACTGTTTCAGTGTCCCAGGGTCATGTGATCCCCCTTTGCAACCTTCTGACAAGCAAAGTCAAAGGGGAAGCCAGATTCACTTAACAACCGTGTAACTAACTTAACAACTTCAGTGGTTCACTTAACCGCTGTGGCAAGAAAAGTCATAAAATGGGGCAAAACTCACTTAATATCTGTCTCACTTAGCAACAAAAATTTTGGGCTCAACTGTGGTCAAAAGTTGAGGACTACCTGTACGTTTCCTAAGTATATAAATATTTGAGAAATGGGTTGTTTGGGAGGAAGCACAACCTACCAGCAACCAAATTATAAAATGTTTATTGGGAGAAACAACTTAAAAAGTTTTCTGCGGGATCTAATGGCCAACTTTATTTCTCAAATTATTCACATAGCAAAAAAAGGACAGCGTTTTAAGAAAGAAGCCAGAAGAAAGCAATGCAGTAATCGTTTTTGTCGTTTGCAATGTGACTAAATAATAAAACAATTGCAGAGTGGCATCAGTAGGATATGAGTAAATGTGGTTTACACAAAATTTTTATGCAGCCTCTATTTATAGGGTTAAGAAACCAGAGAATGAACAATCCACTAAATTAGTGCTTAGTAGAAATAGTCAAGAGAAAATTCAAGCGCACCCATTCTTGGCTTGCCATGCAAGACCAGATCAATTAGCACTTACCATTATGAATGAAAGGAGAACTAGAATCCAGAGGGGTTGGTGGGCTTTTAATCTTGTCACCACATTCAGAATCCAATTTCTTATCCTGCAATGTGGTATTTTGCTTTGGCATGACATGGTAATAGGATGGAGCATATTTTGAAGAACTGCAACCTTTAAAAGTAACAATAGATTGTAAGAATCCTTTACCCACTTTGTTGAACTACTCTAATAGGTTGTGTACAAATACATTTGGGG